GTGTGTGTGTGTGTGTGTGTGTGTGTGTGTGTCGGTCAATTTGCAGATGATTGACGACTACTGGGAGAGTAGCAAGAAGATGATGGCAGATGCGCAGTTCCTGCAATCGCTAAAGGATTATGACAAGGACAACATTCCGGCAAATATCATTGCAAAAATTCGACCGTGAGTGGCTTCTGAGCCCTCTTCTTGCTTAGTTTTTTACACTGAAAACAACTTTTGGCACATGTCATATAGTTTTCATTGTATTTTATTTATTTATTTATTAGATTAAATAGATCTATTTATTTTGGAGGAACCCATAACATTTCATTCCCAAGGAAACACAAAGCAGAAAGTGTCGGGAAAACCCACAAAGTTCACAAACTCCTGTATGTATTGGTCCTATTGGGGCCGTTACCCAGCTTATGGTTCAAGTTTTAACATCGTTTTCATATGTTAGTGAAAGTTCATGACTGCACTCATGACCTTCAACCAACGCATGAAAACGATGTGTCTTTTCATGAGTGCATACTGCGTAGCGGTCGATCTCATGGCATGACACACTTTGTTTTCTTTCATCTTCTGACACATGTTTTTAATTTGTCCTTTCTTACCCCCCAGTAAAACTCCCCTTTTTGAGGTTTTTTCTGTGAAACCCTTTCCTTTTATTCTTGGGAGCATCAATATGAATGTGAAGAGGCCACATGCACATGCTTGATGCATACGTATATACATATATGATATAAATATATATATATACATACATACAAAGCCTCGTGATGAGTCAGTGAAACTCTAACGAAACAGTCTATCCCATGACAGTTCTGTTTGGCGATATATACATGCATATATATTATATATCGTCAAACAGAGCTGCCCGGTAAACCATAGGCAAAGAGGGAGAAGAGGACAACAAATGAGGGGCTGTGACAAACTGTTTTGTCGAAGTTCACCGACTCATCAGGAGGCAGAACTCTTATATATATATATATATATATATATATTGTCACAGAACTATTGACTAAGAGCATCAGCACGTGAAGTAGAAGAAGAAATAAGATGAGCAAAGAAAAGAAAAATCAAAGGACAGGCAGGCAAAGAGACAGACAAACCAGAATGACACTTTGTTTCACAGTATTATTATTTCTTTCAGTGTTTTACAAAAAATATTTACACTGAATCAAAGGATAAAAATCAGAAACAAAGACACATTGAAATCATTCAGTTTCTCAGTCTTCTTAACGCCTCCTCCACTGTGCCTCTAAAGTACAAGGCTCGCCACGTTGATATATATATACGACGAAACAGTTTGTCACAGCCCCTCGTTTGTTGTCCTTCTCTCTCTCTGTGCCTACGGTTTACCGGGCAGTTCTGTTTGTGACGATATATATATCGTCACAAACAGAACTGCCCGGTAAACCGTAGGCAGAGAGAGAGAGAAGGACAACAAACGAGGGGCTGTGACAAACTGTTTCGTCGGAGTTTCACTGACTCATCAGGAGGCTGAACCCATATATATATATATGTGAGTGATAGTCTACTTTGATTTTGGTTAAGGTAGATTATCATTTACAGTGTAATCAGTGAGGGGATTHTGCAGACTGTTGAGGGTTCAGCCTCCTGATGAGTCGGTGAAACTCCGACGAAACAGTTTGTCACAGCCCCTCGTTTGTTGTCCTCTTCTCTCTCTCTGCCTACGGTTTACCGGGCAGTTCTGTTTGTGACGATATATATATATATATATATACATATATATATGTATATATATATACAGAGAGAGAGATAGGGTTGACGTCAAAATTGACGGTATATATGTATGTATATCGTCAAACAGAGCTGCCCGGTAAACCGTAGGCAGAGAGGGAGAAGAGGACAACAAACGAGGGGTTGTGACAAACTGTTTCGTCGCAGTTTTTATATGTACTTGACGTCGAAATTGACGACGTATATTATATGTATATTATGTATCATTATTACTATCATATATATTATATATTAATAATATTATAATAATTGTGTATAATATTTATATAGAGGACAACAAACGAGGGTTGGGCGGCGGAGCGCTCCGCCGCCCTATGGTCTGACGCGACGGCAGGCTCCTTGGCGAGAGGTGGAAACGACGAGCGGTTGGAGCGCTATGACGGCATGATGCGAGGATGGGAGTACGGGGTGAGAGGAGAGCAGGATGATGGGGCGGGAGAGGGATCGTGGGGCATGGAGGAGCAGGCTAGTGGTATCCGGGCATTACCAAATATCTCATATTATGGTCTCGTTGGAGAGGAGGAATGTCGTGGGGGGAGTAAGGAGGGTTTCATAGGTCAGAGGGAGAGTATTATAAGAAGGAATGGGAGGACGAACGCGGGGGTAAGGATGTTGAAGACAGGTTTTCTATAGGCGGGCGACATCTGCGACGATGACACCCCTTCATCTCTTTGGGCTACCTGCGAGGGGCGGCTGGCGGGCTCAGCGGTTTAGTCTTGTGACGTGGTTTGGTTTGCTGTGATGGTAATCCTAGCTGCGGTCCTATTATCTTCATCGTTCGGTCCTTTGGGATGGTTGAATAGTCGTCAACCACAGGCGGCCGAGGTGCTTGAGAGTCGATGAAGGAGGAGGTGAGGTTTGGAGAGAGGTGGGGTGCGTTTAGGGATGTCGAGGGTAAGTTGTGTTCTTCCTCTTCACCTTTTGTAGTGGAGATTCTGCGATGACCATGATCAGATTCTTAACGATGTGATTCCCAGATAGTTTCGTCTGGTTCAATACCTATTAGTTTTTCTATCCTTGAATTTTTAGGTATGCAACGAAAAATATAACTAAGAATTCTGATTCAGAGGTTTGATAACCAAGATTACATCAAGATTAATCCTGACCTAGTTTGTTTGCCTAATTCTGACTTATTTTGTTTGCTTATTTCTTTTGAATTTCACATCATTAGTTATGTCGACTGTCGTATTTTTGTTGCTGAATTACTACCTGGGTAATACTCTTAGTCTGAGATTCGTAAAGTCAAAGGTTGGGCACCTCTGATTTCTTAAAAGAAATTTTCAAAATATTAACTCAGTCTCGTTTTCCTGATCTCGAAATTTCAATTACAGTGTGTTTCGATTGAATTTTCTGATTGTCTGATCTTGGTTTAAAATCCTAATCCTTTTTAGTACTATCATTGTTATCTGACTCCTTAGTTTTCTATACCAAGGAATTTTTTAGATCTAATTTGTGCTTAGCTATCTATGGAAAACACACATGATTAAGGGAAGCAGATGGTTCACACTGACGGGTGAGAAGTATGAATGGGGGGTGCAACAGGGCCTTAGCCTTCGTTAGTAGGTCGGAAGGACGTGGCTGGGACAACGCAGGCCGGTACTGGAGTGTTGCTCTGTAACCTGGGGGAGCGTAAGGCTTGGGGAGTTCTATTGAGGGAGGAAGGCAAAACCAACACGTTCGACGTGGCCGTTGTCGAGGTTTTATCCCTGTCACCATCAGGGGCGTGCAACTGATGGGAGATGTCGAGGGAGGAAGGCACTCCTTACCGTCTATACTAGGCTGGTCGGTACCGGGGTATGGTGGTGCCCTGTAACCCTAGCATAGGAGGGTATGAGACCAGCTGTGTGTAGGATCGAGGACTGATTACGAGGCCTTTGGTTTTCTTCAAGAGTTGCGAGGAAGGTTGCAAGTCGGTGGTTCCAGTTCGGACTTTTTGCTTTCTTTTTTCTGTGTGTTACTCATGTCCTATCTTGTTTTTTTTTCTTAAGTAGGAAGGGGAAGGCTGGTCCTAGGGATTGTTGGGTAGTGTGGTGGTGCTCGGACAGAGGAGGGATTGGTGTTCAGGATGGTAGGTCTAATTAGAAGGGCGGGGTGGGGCGACAATGGTCGGTGCTGGAGCAATTGCTCTGTAACCAGGGGGACCTTGAGACTATTGGAGCTATGTCGAGGGAGGAAGGCATAACCATCGTGTCCAACGTAGCTGAGGCCGGGGCAGTGACCCTGTAACCTTCGGGGGCTTTGCAGCTAAGGAAGTTGTCGAGGGAGGAAGACACTTCCTGTTCGTCAGAACCAGTTCGGTCGGTACTGGGGCAATTGGTGTTGCCCTGTCAATCTAGCAAGGGGGGTATGAGATCTGGCGAGTGCTGTTACGAGGACCGAACGCCTGGGCAACGGCCTCTCCTCTGTGGTGCGGGGAAAGAACTGGATTGTTGGTGGTTTTTGTTATTTTTTCTTCCTGTTTTTTAGGCTTGGTGGTCTTAAGAATGTTTTAGGACTCTGGGGACTCCTAGCAACTCGTCTCAGGTGGTTTTCGATGCTATTATCCTCAGTGATTTGCGGCTGTCCGGTGCCAGAACGACGCTGTCCGGTGCTGGGGTGTCGGCCTATAACCTGCTGATGCAGGAGCGTGAGGCTTGGTAGAGAGATCTGGGGATGCTTTGGGGTGGGCATTCCATGGGACAACCAAGGGTTGCTGCTGGGACAACGCTGGCCGGAGCTGGGGTGAGTTGTGTTGCCCTGCAACCCAGCAGGATGTGGGGGTGTGAGGCCTGGAAGAGCTCGGCAAGGAGTGAGACGGTGTTGGAGAGCCTTGGCAAGGTTAGTTAGGGACTTCGAGGTTTTGAGCATTTGTAGGACCGCTGCGGTCTATTCTCATGTTTTCTGAATTATAGCAAGTATTCTCATACATTTTCTCAGCCGAAGCCGGGTAATGGCCCCGGTATCTCAAAAAAGAGATCGAGGTGAGTGGGAGAGGAGATGGTGGGATATCACACGTCCTACTAGGATGGGAATAGGGTACAGCAGCAGCGGAGATGGTGGCTCTGCTGCAGTAAGTCTTGCCGGAGTGGGGTATAGGGGATCGATTTGTATCTGAGTTTGTTTTCTGAATTGTGCATATGTTTTTGTTTCTTAGCAAAAAAAGAGAATGCTTTAGGATTCTGGGGACTTCTAGCAATTCGCTTTAGGCTGTTTAATACTGGTACATTCATGGATCTGCGGTTGTTCGATGCCAGAACGACGCTGGCCGGTGTTGGGGTGTTGCCCTGTAGCCTGCTGATTGCAGGAGCGTGAGGCCTGGTAGAGAGATCTGGGGATGCTTTGGGAGGGCATTCCAAGGGACAACCAAGGGTTGTTGTTGGGACGACGCTGGCCGGAGCTGGGCCGAGCCGTGTTGCTCTGTAACCTAGCCGGGTGGGGGT